CGCCGGCCACAGTCGTAGACGCGCGAAGGGCAATCCGCGTAGAGGGAATTTTTCGGATACTTCTCCATCACCAAAAATTATGAAAAAATACCATCGTTCCTATAGCACATGTGCCCACGTCGTGCAAGAAAACTCATGATTTTATCACGCTCCGAGTATTTAGTAATATTGACGCCGCATCGTTACCGCAGAACGTCTACTACCGTGTCATCGCCGTCCGTGAGGGGGGCCCACGCCCTGGAGACGCGTCCCGCCTCTTCGGACATGCCACCACACCACCCCGCATGTATGAGGGCCCGGTGCGACGCTGCGGTGGCATTGCTACCCCCTAGTGCCCCCGTCCCGCCTAACCCTGTAGCGTTTGACCACGGGATCTACCCCTTTGACTTTGCACGGACGGGCTTTGACCAGTGGACCTCCCCACCCGGTTGTGTTAGGTCAGCCCATAGGAACACTTTGGAGCAACATCCGGGCCAGACCCACGGCAAGATCCCCTCCGTGTAGACCCCACGCGTCCGTTTCCCCCGTCCAGGTGCCGGCGGCAGCGCCGTCCGTGAGGGGGGCACACCCCGGACACGCGTGCCACCGCCACAACACTTCCAGACTTGTGAGAGGCCGCCGGCGCAAAATTTGGCGGGATGCTAGCCCCCGGAGGCCGCCGGCCACAGCCGTAGACGCGCGAAGGGCAATCCGCGTAGAGGGAATTTTTCGGATACTTCTCCATCACCAAAAATTATGAAAAAATACCATCGTTCCTATAGCACATGTGCCCACGTCGTGCAAAAAAACTCATGATTTTATCGCGCTCCGAGTATTTAGTAATATTGACACCGCATCGTTACCGCAGAACGTCTACTACCGTGTCATCGCCGTCCGTGAGGGGGGCCACGCCCCGGAGACGCGTCCCGCCTCTTCGGACATGCCACCACACAACCCCGCATGTATGAGGGCCCGGTGTGACGCTCCGGTGGCATAGCTACCCCCCAGTGCCCCCGTCCCGCCTAACCCTGTAGCGTTTGACCACGGGATCTACCCCTTTGACTTTGCACGGACGGGCTTTGACCAGTGGACCTCCCCACCCGGTTGTGTTAGGTCAGCCCATAGGAACACCTTGGAGCAACATCCGGGCCAGACCCACAGCAAGATCCCCTCCGTGTAGACCCCACGCGTCCGTTTCCCCCCTCCAGGTGTCGGCGGCAGCGCCGTCCGTGAGGAGGGCACACCCCGGACACGCGTGCCGGGCGTTTGCAACCGCCACAACACTTCCAGACTTGTGAGAGGCCGCCGGCGCAAGATTTGGCGGCATGCTAGCCCCCGGAGGCCGCCGGCCACAGCCGTAGACGCGCGAAGGGCAATCCGCGTAGAGGGAATTTTTCGGATAATTCTCCATCACAAAAAATTATGAAAAAATACCATCGTTCCTATAGCACATGTGCCCACGTCGTGCAAAAAAACTCATGATTTTATCGCGCTCCGAGTATTTAGTAATATTGACGCCGCATCATTACCGCAGAACGTCTACTACCGTGTCATCGCCGTCCGTGAGGGGGGCCACGCCCCGGACACGCGTCCCACCTCTTCGAACATGCCACCACACCACCCCGCATGTATGAGGGCCCGGTGCGACGCTGCTGTGGCATTGCTACCCCCAGTGCCCCCGTCCCGCCTAACCCTGTAGCGTTTGACCACGGGATCTACTCCTTTGACTTTGCACGGACGGGCTTTGACCAGTGGACCTCCCCACCCGGTTGTGTTAGGTCAGCCCATAGGAACACTTTGGAGAAACATCCGGGCCAGACCCACAGCAAGATCCCCTCCGTGTAGACCCCACGCGTCCGTTTCCCCCCTCTAGGTGCCGGCGGCAGCGCCGTCCGTGAGGGGGCACACCCCGGACACGCGTGCCGGGCGTTTGCAACCGCCACAACACTTCCAGACTTGTGAGAGGCCGCCGGCGCAAGATTTGGCGGCATGCTAGCCCCCGGAGGCCGCCGGCCACAGCCGTAGACGCGTGAAGAGCAATCCGCGTAGAGGGAATTTTTCGGATACTTCTCCATCACCAAAAATTATGAAAAAATACCATCGTTCCTATAGCACATGTGCCCACGTCGTGCAAAAAAACTCATGATTTTATCGCGCTCTGAATATTTAGTAATATTGACACCGCATCGTTACCGCAGAACGTCTACTACCGTGTCATCGCCGTCCGTGAGGGGGGCCACGCCCCGGAGACGTGTCCCGCCTCTTCGGACATGCCACCACACCACCCCGCATGTATGAGGGCCCGGTCCGACGCTTCGGACATGGCACAAATAGGTAGTTGTGTAACTAAAATAGGTAGGAGGAGAGATAGCTCTTATGTCACAAAAAAGAAGTTGTATCAAACCTTTTATGTCAGATCTAGAACAAACCAATCGGTATCGCCATCATACAGCCCAACCGTGGCTCGTGATGCATATATATGCATATCAAATGCATGGTTGGACGTATGATGGCGAATCCGAATGATTTGTATTCAGTCAATGAACTGGTAGATGTATGCAGTCGATGAACTGGTAGATGTATGTAGTCGATGAACTGAAAGACTTATGCAGGGAAGGCGAGAGGTGGGCTATATATGGGGTCGTCTGGCTCACAAAGTGATTGTGGTAGTTTCGATCCAACGACTCACATGAGCTAGGAAGAAACACACCCTTGATCCAACGACTCGCAAGAGCTAGAAAGAAACACACGATCCGTGTGATTCTTCCTGATTGGTGGGATGCACATTAGTACCCACTCCGGACTCCGAAACCCTAATACTCGGAAAGAGTTTGTCCAGTTTGTACACGAAGTGCGTCCAGTTTTTGCCGTGACCCTCTCTACTCTTTCGCGCATCCCCCCTCTAAGTGACGACTGCTCTACCTTCCGTGGAGGGGGGCCACACCATGGAGCCCCAAGACGGGCGTCTACGCATGCCAGAACACTTTCACACATGCATCAGGACCCGTGTGATGTTTCGGTGGCATAGCAACACCCCGAAGGCCACCCCGAATCCCCGTTGACCAGTAGATCTAGCCCTTTGACTTTCGTTGGACGGGCTTTGACCGGCGAACTCTTCCACCTGGTTGCGATAGGTCAGCCCATAGCAACATCCCCGAACACGGTCTGGACCCAACCCAACACTAGATTCCCTCCGGTTCCACCGCACCCGCACCATCCCCCCCTCTAATTGACGGCTGCTCTGCCTTCCGTGGAGGGGGGCCACACCACGGAGCCCCAAGACGGGTGTCTACACATGCCAGAACACTTTCACACATGCATCGCGACCAATGCGATGTTTCGGTGGCATAGCTACACCCCGAAGGCCATCCCGAATCCCAGTTGACCAGTAGATCTAGCCCTTTGACTTTCGCCGGACGGGCTTATATAACCGTAGGAGGGCCACCACAACAACTAGCGGCATTGCTACCCCCCAGGTACCCCGTCCCGTCTAACCCTGACACAAACGACCGCCGGGTCTATCCCTTTGACTTTCGCTAGACGTAGTTTGACCGGTGGACCTTTTCACCTTGTTGTCATAGCCCAGCCATAGGTACACCCCCCAACACAGTCCCGGCACAACCCACCCCAAGATTCCCTCTGCGTCGGCCCGACGTGGCCGTTTCACCCCCCCCGGGGCACGGCGGCATCGACGCCCGTGAGGGGGGAGGGGGCACACCCCGGAGCCGCGTGCCTGCGCCTACCACCACGTTTCCACAACTGTAGGAGGGCCCATCGTAGCACCTGCCGGCATTGCTACCCCCCACAGGTACCTGGCCCGTCCCGTCTAACCTCTCCGTGACACGACGGAAGAAGGCCCGTGTGGGGGGCAATCGATATATGTTTTCTGTACATTTAAGTTAGTGAAATTAGTATTGGAAAAAAATAAATAATAATAAGAGAAAATACAAAAAATATAAAAATATTATTAGAAATCTATGCCTACGGCCTACCCGTCGGCATAGCTACGGCCACGGAACGGTACAACCCTGGATCGATGACGTGGCGTAGGGCGGGGATCAATGACGTGGCAAAAACCATGGGCCAGGCCTATGCCGATGGCCTAGCCATCGGCATAGAAATGCCACCCCACTGGACCGGCGAACGACGCGGATCGATGACGTGGCGGCGCGGCGGATCGGTGACGTCGGCGTAGCTATGCCGACGGCCACCGTTAGCCCGTCGGCGTAGCCTGACGCCATCAAACTGCCGTCGCCGCCCGGGTAGACGGGCCCACGTGATATGCCGACGGCCTGCTCTATGCCGACGGCCCCCGTCGGTATATTCGGAGAAACGCCGACGGCTTATCTATGCCGATGGCCCCCGTCGGCATAGATGGTTATACGCCAACGACCTTTCTACGCCGACGGCTTTAGTTGGGCCGTCGGGGTATGCCCATGTATGCCGACGGGGGCCGTCGGCATAGATATGGCCGTCGGCAACTGCCTAAATTCTGGTAGTGAACGTTGCCTCTTTTTTACCCTCTCCGTCAGTTTAATAATAGAGATGCCAATCCCTGGCCGGCTAATTATAGAAATATTCTGCCTTTTCCTCCCTCTCCTTCAGTTTCCCCAGAGCAAAGCAGTCTCTCGCGCGATCCATCTGGGCCGATCCCTTTGCTGGTAAGCAAACCTGTCTTGCTTGGATCGTTGTTCGTTCATTTTGTTCCCTTCTATCTGCTGTGAACAATTGAATCTTTTTTCCTTCGAAGATCAATCCCAGTTGACGCCATCCCACCCTTGCCCTGCATTTTTCAATTTCGATACCATCTGATCGGTTTTTGCTCACAATTTGCTTCATTTGGTTTTTGAGATGTTTATTCACAATTCCTTGCCGGAAATATTACCATCCAGGGGCAGAGCCAGGCAAATGCAGCTTAGAATTTTAAGTTTCTCCTGTTGTTGATCATGGTCCTTTTTTATAGTAGCAGGGAGATCATGTCCCCTGGTCCATTGTGCATAATGAGTTGATCACAAGTTGAAATGGACCCTCCTCCAGTTGCCGATCCTGGACAAACCAAGGATAAAGGTCAGCTACACATATCAGAATCAAGAACGTTGTTTGTCAACTTTAAGTCACTCATGGTGATTCTGAGTTATGACTACATCGGTTATAATGAATGACTTATGTATGTGTTTGCAGGTGTTGGATCTAAGGGTGAAATGGATCTCCCAGTTGCCGATCCTGGACCGGTGAGGGATGAAGGTGAGCTTCTCCGGTGCCCGTTTTGCGATTATGAAGCAGTGTACAAACTAGCACAATTCTTGCTCCCTGGTTTGGCTGCGGTCTGTGTCGATGGTACAACTGGTGATCTGTTCAGGAGCCCATCTGATGTTGCTGTTGACCTCAGAAAAGAAATGGTGGACAGCATTACACAAAGAAGTGAAACGTTCATAGCCGATGTTGAGGCGGAACAAAACGCTGAGAATGAAATGTCGGATGACCCTTATGAGATCGTGTCAATATTCATGGATGATTTCAGTCGCACGAAAAGGAATATCATTGGCCATGTCTCTGGGTGGTTGCTAAGTGACAGCCGTGATGATAAGATCGATGACTTTGTCCAAGAAATGGAGATGACCCGCTTCTGGCCATTAGAGAGGAGAGAAGCGATAGCCGAGGTCCTCCTCAGGAATGTGGACATTAAAACCAAGTTCCACTGCCCTGAGAAATATGAAAACGAGGAACGTCTTGCTGAGCACAAAGCACAGTGTAGCTTCAGGCCTGTCACTTGCCCAAACGAGGGATGCCGAACAAAAGTCTCTGTTCGTTGCATGCAGGATCATGATGCAACTTGCCTTTTCAAGATCCTTCAGTGTGAGCAAAACTGTGAGAAACGGCTTCTGCGGCGTGATATGGATAGACATTGTGTCACTGTCTGCCCCATGAGGCCCATGAAGTGCCCTTTCGGGTGTGATGATTCGTTCAGTGAACACGACCTCGAGGAGCACTGTTCAGAGAGTCTCCAGCAACACTTGCTTAAGGTCCTTCAGGTGATTCACAAGAATAATTTTACAGCTGATGAGCTAAAGGAAACTGCTCTACGACTGGAGAAGGTTAGGCTTTTTTTATCTTGGAATTTGCAAGCTGCAACATATCTGTTTTCACTGCTCTTTTAGGGCATCTCCAATACAGTGTCGCAAAACGGACTCACTATCCATCCGTGGACACGTCCATGGACACGGGTACAGAAGCGTGCCATCCAACCACAATGCCCAAAACGTCCGCTTCTATTACATTTAAAAAGATGCAAACTTCTGCCAAATAGCTAAAATCAACCTTCTGCTAAACAGCACAGCTATGGGCCGTAGTCTTCCGCCAAATGAGATCAACTTTCCGCCAAATAGCTAAAATTATGCAATAATTTAACATTCTCCTCCCGCCAAACAACCAGCAATAGCCACAGTCTTCCGCCAAATAGCATGACTATACAATGATTTAATCACGTAGGTATTATCCTTCCACCAAATAGCAGCAGACGTGGGGTACGTGGTGGCTTTGATTGGCTAGGCGGACGTCCAAACTCCCGCAAACCTCCCGCCGGTTTGCTTCTGGTTTGCGGGATTTCAGACGTGTGGATGTATGGGACACCATGTTGGATGGTAAAAATGATCCAGATGCGTCGGTACGACGCTTTCGGGAGTTTTGCAGCATGGTGTTGGAGATGCCCTTATTTGTATTTAATCATTGTCATCAATATGTATGTATATCTTTAAAACAAATGAATAGACTGAACATATGTTATTACTAAATGATCTCTGCAGTCTGAAGATCGTGGTAAACTGGCTAAAGCTCGGGATGCTAGATCTCTAACTAGTATTGTGAAGGATCTTGAAGCAAAGAAATTTCAATGTTCTAGTGTAGTATCTCATGTAAACCTTGGTGGTTGACACGTGAGGTGTGGAGATGGAGATAACCACAGGATAACACCGTACATGGAGATGGAGATCACCATGGGACCGCCGTGTACATAGAGATGAAGATTATCATCGGTTGCCAAAAAGGGGCTATACCGTATCATACTTGTATAAACTGTTTGTGAAAGTTTATCCCTTATATATATGCACCCTTCTTTTACATGGTAAGATTTTTTAAGTAAGGTGAGCTTTCAAAGAATGTTAGTAAAGTTGACTCCCCAATTGTCGTAAAATCACATGTCAAGTATATTTAGTGGTGCGATTATAAAATTAGTGTTATGCTATTCCTCCTTGACGTGACGGGTTTGTGTCAGATAGTTATGTGTGAAGCATTGGCTAACTTGTTAATGCTACCAAAATAATTTTGGGCCTCGAGACATAAGAGTTCGTGAGACATGTGATGTGCCCAACAAACAAGTCACATAGAGATATTACCAAGTGTTGCTTAACGTGTGATCTAGTCTTCTAGCAGTGATGCAAAAGCTCAGTAATCGACATGTTGACCTCGGATCTTGAATCATCAAGTATTGGCGGAGGATTGTTGATTTTAGTGGGAGTATTATTACAAAAATGTTCAATATGGATTACTCTTGGTGAACACATGTAAGAAAAACTTGTTTGGTACCCATCATTTGAGTTGGTTCTCATTTGCGAATATATGTGTTCAACTTGTTTGGTTGGGACTGAGGGACGTAGTATTTCATTCGTCGATTCGAGATGATGGAAGCTTTCCCGAACCCCAAATCACGTGCTCTCAGCCGTCATTCTCCTCGATTTCAGTCTCGACGCCCTCGTCTCCTCCTTCCCACAGTCTTTCTATAGGTGTGGTTGTAGGAGTGGTTACATCAACAGCTAGTACCAACTGCTGATGTACTTGTAGGCACTAGTACTGTCGCCTGCCTTTGTCTCTCCCCTCTTTTTTACCCAAGGTCACTAGTAAAGCGGTGTTTAATCCATTCACTTCTTGACATGATTTGGGTTTATTAGAGA